ATTGACTAGTGAGGTTTGCTCACCTAAATGCCTTCATGTATAGTAGAAATTGTTAGTGGCTTGCAAATATCTCATTTGAAAAAAGTTTACTAAAACATCATCAAACATATTAGATTTGAAAAATCAGTTTGAAACTTCCAAGAATGAAACTCACACATTTAATATTTAGGAATTATTAACACTCTACAATATTAACTCTCTCCTACCATAGCAGAAATGGGTGTTTCTCCAATAGCCAGAGATTTATTTTCTGATACTATTTTCGATTGTGTTTTCTGAACCCAACAGTTAGACAACTGTTTCATTATTTTTATTTTTTGCTGGGTTCTGGGGCTTGAACTCTGGGCTTGAGTGCTGTCCCTGAGCAACTTTTTGTTCAAGGCTAAGGTCCTACTGCTTGAGCCACAGTCACTTCTGTTTATTTTCTGTGATTAATTGGAGTTAGTCTCACAGACTTTCTGGGCTGGCTTTGAACCACGACCTTCATATCTCAGCTTCCTGACTAGCTGGGATTACAACATGAGCCACCAGCACCAGACTCATTAGAGTGTGTGTGTGTGTGTGTGTGTGTGTGTGTGTGTGTGCGTGTGTGTACCAGTACTGGGGCTTGGCCTGGGTGCTGTCCCTGAGCTATTTTGCTGAATGCTAGTGCATTACCACTAGAGCCACAGCTCCACTTCTAGGTTTTTTTTTTGTTGTGTGTGGGGGGGAATTAATTGGAAAATAGAGTTTCCTGGGCTTTCCTGTCCAGACCAGCTTTAAACCATGATCCTCATATCTCAGCCTCTTGGGTAGCTAATATTATAGGCATGAGCCAGCAGTGCTGAGCTGTTTCATTTTTTCTAAGGCAAGAAAAAGGTGAGACTAAAAACTAGGTCTGAAATACAGTTTTGACAGGATTAGAGATGTTTTTAAGAGAAGCTGTGCATGTTAAGGGGAAGGTTACAGGACATCTCTGTCCTTCCTCTCAATTTTGCTGGGGACCTAAAACTGATGTAAAAAAAGTTTATTTTTAAAAACTAAAACAATGCCTTCTTTAATCTCATAACTCTTTAGCATCTGTTGAAGATTTTCCTTGAGAATCTTCATATTTCCAGGCTTCCTTGTGTGCAAGAAACTCAACTCAATGAAACAATTCAGGATAGTTCATTTTCCAGTATTCTTTAGGTAGATAATAGTAGTCCGTACTTGCTTTGTAGTCTCAAGTATTACCAAATACTTGCTTTCCTCACAGCACCTAGAAATAGAAAATGTCAAGGCTTCTAGGAAGCTATGATATTTCAGATGATGACAGATCCCCAGTTACTCATGCCCAACCTAGGAGGAGTGGTACATATCTTGTTTTCCCCCACTTCTCAGTCATTCTGTATAGGAAATTTTAGCTGGTGTGACATGTATGTCATATTCTTCCTCTTCTCCTAGAGAGGAAAGAGGACATTTGATCATCTCATTTGGAAGGAGGACTTAGGTAACTAGACAGGTATGTAGCAATAGTTTTTCTTTGGATCTAACACATAGCACACACACACACACACACATACACACACACACACAATTTTGGCTCTTTTTTTTTTTTTTTTTTTGTCGGTCGTGGGCTTGAACTCTGGGCCTGGGCGCTGTCCCTCAGCTCTTCAGCTCAAGGCGAGCACTCTGCCACTTGAGCTACAGCGCCACTTCCAGTTTTCTGGTGGTTTATTGGAGATAGGAGTCTCACAGTCTCTCCTGCACGAGCTGGCTTTGAACCGTGATCCTCAGATCTCAGCCTCCTGAGTAGCTAGGATTACAGGCGTGAGCCACCAGCGCCCGGCAATTTTGGCTCTTCTTGTCACAAGTTTTATAGAGGCAAGCCCTCCACTCACAGGTGCTTGTGGTGGTTCACTGTCAGTTGTGAGTGAATGAATAGGTAAAAGGCAAGTCCTTGATCTGTAAGTTATTCTAAGCAATAAAGACTAGGTGATGTTTTAATATTTGTCTCTTTAATTACTCCACAGTCTACAACAGGATTCTAAAGGCAGATATTATCCCCACTCCAATATTGTTTTACCTTGAAACCATAGGATAGTCGTTCAAGATTTACTGAACATGGTTCTGCAACATGGTTCTTTTTGAATAAGTTTCTTCCTCTTCCACAGTTCATATCTATACTTAGACTTGCAGTTTTTTTTTTTTTACAAGTTTTTACATCAGGCACATGTTTCTACAACTTTGGCAAGACTATTATACATTTTGTCGCTGTTCTACAATTTTGCTTCCTTATCAAGTTATTGTTTTAATTTTTATTTTTTTTGGTATTACTGTTGTTTAAACTCAGACCTTGGACCACACCCCTTTGTTGCCTTATTCTTCAGATGGAGTCACGTGCTCTTGGCCCCAACTACATACATCTATAACCCTGATATTCCTGCCCCTATTTCTCACATGCTGGGATTGCAGGCATTCACAAATAGGTGTGACCAAATCATTTCTCCTTCTCTAGGGAAAAATGGCATTTTGCTTTAATTTGGAAATTAAAGTTGCTTTTAACAACCCATTTATACTATAATGTCTTAGTCTTTAAAGAGACTTCCTGCTGGATTTTAGAGTGATGAGTGAACAGAGAAAGTGATATTAAAGAGTTAAGAGAAGAGGTAATATTAATTAAAAACTGAATTTAAAATCTACCTTGGCTAGAACTGAACATTTATAAATAACTTATTCCAAAGGGGAAAAACCTAGCTTGGACCATAGATCACACACATGCACACACACACATATATATGCATATGCATGCACACACACGTATATATACATCTTAGATATATAATTTATAAATCACATTTTATACATATATAATTTCTATACATATGATTTTTATATATGTAATTTAGAAAGCTTGTTCCTATGATAAATTCTTTTGGTATAAACAAAAAAAAAATGTTAAAATCACTTTACCCGAAAGGAAACCATCACTAAACCCAGATCCACAGGGTCTCCACTTTATTTCAGGAAACGAAATCCAAGCAATTAGTACTCCACTGAAATAAAGTACATTTTTATATTTCTTCAAAGCAGGGGCAGTTTAGAATCTTTAAATTGAAAAAAAAAAAGTTCTTTTATTTTGTCTGGTCATTCAGGAACTAACGCTGGTTACATACAATTCTCTCTCTCTAATTTTACAAAATAACCAATTGTTTACTAATGTCTAAGTCAAATGAGCTTATAGCCATTTAATTTTCATGCTAGAAGTCAGAGAGATATAGACATTGCACAGTTACGTTATATTTCTTGACTATTGTCCTGATTTTATTCTACCTTTTTTTTTTATTAGGACCAGTAGGCATTGCTGGGAAAAATGGTCATTTCTCTATTTACAGCAACTGACAGACAGACTCTGTGAGAGAAAGCAGAGCTTCTAATGTTGTGACAAACTTTGCCATCCCTTTGCAGTTTTCCTCTCATATGTAGAAGCTAGATCTAATTTATATATATATATATATATATATATATATATTTGCAAGTAAACACATACAGGGTGGTATGCAAGTGTATATAAACATATTAAACTGGAGTATGGTATTTACAGGAGAGAGCTGAAATCATCTAATCCCTTAGGCAAACGAATTCATAATCCAACAGAATGAGTACCAGGAAACTGGTGAGTGGGTCATGGGAAAGGGAAGGGGGAAGAATGCAGTCATAAATGTTCAATGAATATCTTTTGAAACTAGAAAATTTGAGTGGAGAGGTTAAGTTTGTAGGGATGGATTAGCTGATGAGAGGACACTGATCAAGATGCAGTGTACTTATTTACTCAATGGTTGAAAAGTAATTCCTCTGTATAACCTACAGATAATAAGACTTATAAAAACAAAAGAACAAGGGCTGGGAAGGTGGCTCAGTGGTAGAGCACTTGCCTTGCATGCATGAGGCCCTGGGTTCGATTCCCCAGCACATAAGCAGGAAAAAAAAAGCCTGAAGTGGCTCTGTGGCTCAAGTGGTAGAGCGCTAGCCTTGAACTGAAGAGCTGAGGGACAGCGCCCAGGCCCAGAGTTCAGGCCTCACAACTGGACACCCCCCAAAACAAAAACAAAAATAAAACAAAAGAGCAAAGAAACCCCTTCATCTTCCTTTAATTCAACCCTTACAACCCTATGTGCACTTAAAGAAAGCAGTGGGAAACAAAAGCAGGGGGGGAAGACAAGTTTATTCAGAGAGTGTAAACAGCTACAATAGGATTGTATTTGTTAGAAAATCTAATTTGGTCTGCACAGTGTAACAAAAGAAACATTCAGAGCAGACATCAGTGTAAGTTTAATTGATAATTTATTTGTGAAAAAAAGCTAGATTTTTGTGAGAAAAGTTTAAATCCTTTACTTGTAAGCATAAAGAAACTCAACAGGAAATGTAACGGTCAGAACACAGAACAGTAACTCTTATACTCCTTCCCAAGTAGACAAAGTAGAAGTGTTAAAAAAAAATACTTTCTAGGTTGACTATAGTGATTCATCTATGAATCCCGTTGTTCCAATTGGTTTTTGATTTAAAAAAAAAAAATCAAGCTTTGTCTAAGAGGTTATCACATCTAGCATTGGCAAAAAAATAAAGTTATTTTCCTACTCCCCTACCCCCAAAGACAATGTACATCTAAACCTCCAAGCATGAAAAACTATGGAATAGAATATCTTATACAAATCAACCAGCTTCTCCTTAACGAAAGTTAAGAGTTGTTTTGGACTGACTTTTCAAGAGGCACAAGCATATCTACAGGAATTAGGCATTGGCAGTCCAATAATTTCTTTTTTTCTGAGATTACCATTTAATTCTTGGTGATAGGTCATAACGGGTGTGCATTTTTGTTTGTTTGTTTGTTTTTTTGGTGTGTTTGTTTTGTTTTTGTTTTGGGGTTTTTCGTGTTTGGTACTTAAGTCACCGACATCGCGGACGACAAAGGAAGCGAGGTGTGTGGATAGAGTGACAGGGAGTTGCATCCGGCCAGGGCCAAGAGCCGAACGGGTTTGCTTCTAGGAACTGGGTGATTTGCTCCGCTGTTTTTCCTTTGAGGTCGACCCGGGACTGGACGAGGAGGCTCCGGCTTTGGCTTTGGCGCTGCTGCTCGTCGTCCCCCCTTCCGCAGTCCCAGACCCCACGTCTTCGTCGTCATCTTCGAAGAGTTCTTGTGAGAGCAGCCGTCGGGCCAGTTTGATGCTCAGTCCCTCGCTGTAGTGCAGCTTGCGCTGCGTTTCGAATTTCTCTCTCTTCTCCTGGTCCTGGGGCGAGAGGCCGCCCTCCTCGTCGGTGCTGCTGCCTTCCCGCTGCCGCAGGAGGAACTTGGGTTCGGAGCCCACGGCCGCCGAGAGTTTCTGCGCCAGGAGGGCCGGGCTCACCATGCCTCCCGAGGAGGCCTTGGGATCCGAGAAGACGTCGGGGTCGTCGTCCATCAGGGTGAAGTAGGGCGTGCCTGGCTCGTCCACCTTCATGAACCCGTAGTCCTTGCCTGCCGGGTGGTAGGTCGCCAGGATGTTCATCTCATCCCACTTCTGGGATTTCTTATTCATCTCCTCCTCCACTTTCTGGCGAGACTCTTGGGGCGTGACGCCCACCGTGGAAGCCCCCGACGTCTTGTTCTTCAAGATGCCCTTGAGGGGCGGCTGCGAGGCCGCCGAGGTCGCCATGGCCCGTTGAGGAGGTTGTTGATTCAGGGTCGCTGCTGGTGGGGTCCCCCGAGGAGCCGCGGGTAGACAGAGGCCACCAGGCCGAGCCGCGGAGCCCCTCCCCCGGCCGCTACAGCAGCTCACCTGTGTACCTGTTGTCGCACAAACGACCCCCGGGGTGTCGTTGTCACGACACAACGATCACAGGACCAGGACGACGACGAAGGGCGGCGACGACGACGACCGATGCCCGCCACTGGTCAGGGCGGCGCGAGGCCAGGCCTGGAACCCGCTGTCCTCCCCCCCCCCTCCCCCCGCGCAGGGCCTCGGAGCCAGAGCGAGGCCGGCCTGGGCGCCTGGAGGCTGGGGTGAGGGTGGGGGGTTGAGGGGTGGGGTGGGGATGGGGTGAAGGGTAGGGGGTGATCGGGGGGTGGGTGGACTCTTCAGGGTTCTTTGTTCCTGACATCCATGTGCCCACGATCTTAGACTGGTTGGTTGGTTTGTTCACCCCCCCCCCCCCCCCATAGGAAAATGGATGGTTCAATGACAAGCCTGTGGCGTGCCATCTTGGGTCAAGCCTCAGGCTTAAGACTAGACCAGGGTGGTTTATCCGGTAGTGGTGGAGGGGGAGGCTGTGTCCTAACGTTGGCGTAAGTGTGCAAAGAGAGGATGCGTGATGGAAGATGGCCTGCATGGCGGATCCCGGTCCCTCCCGGCGGCTCCTCTGAATGCACCCTTGGAACTGGCTTTCCTAGATGGCGAGACACCAAAAAAGTCGGGCCAGTTGGTTGCTACGGAAGCTTTCTCGGTTGGTGAGGGTTGTCTTGGGTGGTGGTTGATGTCTCCCAACTTCTGAGGGGAGAGAGGTGGAGTGATGCGCGCAGAGAGTTCCGGGCTGGGCGCTTGCACGACGTCTGTGCGCCACAGCCACCACCGAGTCCTATGAGGATCTGCCAGGATGTACAGAAGGCTGAACAAAGCCTCTGCTCCGGTGAAGCGGGAAGGTTGGAAGAGAACCATCATCTGCTCCATTCATCGCATCCACAACGGCCTGGCTTGTTGGCCTGGGAGAGCTAAATGTTGCTTTTTCACAAGGCCAAGTTAGATGCGTTTCGTATCTTTTCAAATGTCTATCAGAATATTATTCTGATCGTTACAATTACAATAATGATGACTAATAGTGATAGTCATTATTCCTATCAGAGATATGATTATTGCCACCTATCTATAGCTGTTTCCACATTTTCCCATACCTTTCTCCATCTTCCTCTCTCTCATTATATCATTACCTCCCTCTCTCTCTCTCTCTTTTGATCTAGAAAACATTTCTTTTATACTGTACTGACTTTGAGGGCTATTCCCAGCAAGAAATAAAAAATGTGAAAGCTTCTGCCATGGAGTGGTTGGAAGTTAAAGAGCAACTATCTAGTTGGAATGAGTGCTTTATTGGCCATCGTTGAGATACAAGTTTCTTTCTATGTATATTTTTCTCTTCAGGCATTAAGTAACGCTTTGGTGAAACACTCTAGTTTATTCTCTGCTATGTTCATGTATATTGAAGTGGAAGACTTGGTATAGTTGATCCTTAATGCTGAGGGACAAGAGCACCAGCATGGTTTATCCTGGTAGTGGCTTACAAAATAATCTTCAACAAGAATCTCAAATTCACACTGTGGAACTATTTTATCATTTGCCTCTTGTTGAGGAGAGCATTTTCCTGCAGTCTGTAAGTCTGTAAGTCTGGGTCCCTTTATGGCTTTACCTTTCATAACTATTTGTTTAACTGGTCAATGTTTTAAATAACATGGATCAAATGATATGTTATGCACTGATATAACAAATGTTATTTTACATAAGCTTATGCTACCACTTTTATGATAATGAACCCTCTCCTGTAATAATATCATGATTTCTTTCATGAGAGCAAAGCCTTCCTGACTTAATCAGCTTTTATTAGAAGTTCCCTGCCAATACTATTCCATAGAGGAATTAAAATTTCAATATATGAACTTTGAGGGACACATGCAAGTGAAAGTATGTATATATGCATGCATGTATATATCTATCCATAAAAACATATATGTATTCTTATTACTTATTTTTTGGTTTCCATAAGAGTCAAGAAAAACGATTCTTTAAGATCAATAGTTTTGTCAGTTGAGAAGTTAAAAATGGAGATGTATAATTAGTACAAGAGTTTCTCAAACATCTGTCACATCATATTGTTTAGTTACTATTGAGACAAGGCAGCAAACATCCAACAGATTTAATCTCTGTAAAACACAGAAACATTTCTCAATATTTTTCTTTCTTAAGCAAATCAGTTAATTCTTGTCTAGGAAAAACTAGCCAATATCAGCACAATCCCTGCTGAAAACAACCTCAAACCCCAGAAATTTCTTCTATGATTTGAGTTTATATGTTTAAAATGACTAGACCATAACTAATCATTTTAATACTGTTGATTTTCAATAACTAATAAAAAGTACTCTAAGATCTGAGGATCAAGTTTTAAAGCTAGTCTGGGCAGAAAAGTCTCTGAGACTCTTATAATCAGAAAAACAAAAAGAAAAAAATGCCAAACAAAGTCCAAGGCCTTGAGTTCAAGCCCAGTATGCGCGTGTGCGTGCGCGCACACACACACACACACACACACACACACACACACACAGGGTTCTCACACATACAGGGTTCACAGTGACTTACACCAAATCTTAATAGACAACAATTTGAAAATGATTAATTTAGCAACCATGCATAGACATAATTTGTATGGACATTGTATTTTGCTAGTTAAAATGTGGTTCCACTTTTATATTGAATTTTAGGGATGAACAGTAGCAAAACAATCACTTAAGAAAGAGATCAGCAAATATTTTTCTAGAAAATTAAAATAATAAATATTATTTGCACTCTGTGTTTTATAATCCCTGTGGTATCCATTTACCCCTATCACTATAGTGGAGTGCCAATGCGTAAACAAATTCTTGTGGCTATTTGTCTCAATATTATTTACAAAGCAGGCAATAGTCCTCTCATCTGGCTTTTAGGACAGCCACCATCTGATCAAAGAGTGAGGAGACAGTAATGAAATGTAACTTGCATAAGCTTTTTTTTTTCTTAGGTCCGGTCGTGGGGCCTGAACTCTGGGCCTGGGCACTGTCCCTCAGCTCTTCAGCTCAAGGCTAGCACTCTACCACTTGAGCTACAGCGCCACTTCCGGCTTTTTTTTCCTTTTTGCTTATGTGGTGCTGAGGACTCGAACCCAGGGCCTCAGGCATGCAAGGCAAGCGCTCTACCACTGAGCCACCTTCCCAGCCCCTTGCATAAGCTTTCTAAGGTAACGATGTTATAGTTTATATTTCACAGAAAACCTCTTTATCATTATCTTGTAAGTAGTTGTACAAAGGGATTTCAATTCAACATGTCAATTTATGAGTACAATGCATCTTGATCAATTTCACCCCTTTTTATAATTCTCCACCATCTCCCCTAACCCACCCATTCATTTTTCAGTTTTCCATTCTCCACCATCTCACCCAACCCACCCATTCATTTTTCAGTTTTCCAAGTTCTGTATTTACATATGTACGTTGACCACTATGACTCTATTCATTAACCTTTTCTCTCTCCCTTTGTCTGCCCCCTTCCTTTGACTTTGCCTCTTTAGTACAACTTTTTATATGATAAGTTTCACTTTAAAACCTACTTTCTGGCCAGAACTTCATGTTAAACAACAATAACAACAACAACAAAAACTAATGGTATTCGCAAGTAATGGACTAAGTTTGTGTTCTGTTCTTCCATTTGGAATTATGTGACTTTTAGCAAGGGGCTTAGCTTTTCTAAGTTTTGGTTCTTTCTTCATAAAATAGAACTCTAGTAATCATTATGTGTGAGAATTACATAGTATTAGTGAGAAGAATTTTGTCAAAACCACCTATAAATACTAATTACTGCTAACAGCACTCTGAGTCAGTAGTTGACAGGTGCCGTTTTCTTCTCCGAGAACATTTTCACAGACTAATTAGCTCTGTGCACTTTCACTAAATGAGAAGTAAATTAATCCAAGGAAGGGCTGGCAGTATTATCTACTTTACTAAAATAATCAGATTACCCTTTACTTCTAAAGTTTTAAGAAATGTACTTTTATAGAGGAAAAGAAATGTTAAAATTTGTAAAAAAATGTTTTAAAGGCAAAAAAGAAAAGCAAAAAAAAAAAAGTAATAGCTGACATAAATGATAACAGGGACATGAGGAAAAAAGTGAGAAATTAGAGAAGCTAAAAGAATTGGAAGATGAAAGACAAATCAAGGAGAAAACCCCAAAATATACGCAACAATGGGAATTAGGCAGAAAAGTAATAAGGCAAAGTTAATGAAAGTAGTCTACAGAGTTTAAGCTATTAGGGCCAAAGGGAGTGCACGGGACAGGAAGTCTATATTTGGATTATCTGTTTCTAACACTACTGCTACCATTCTACCCTCCCACTCTTTGTTATAGTTGTTAAACTTGAGAACTTCTCCTTTCTATCTGTATTTGCTGATAGACATCTAAAGTCAAGGGCCAGAGAAGCATTTCAGATAACAGGCTTTAGCTCTATTGGTTCTGCATTTCTAATCAGAGAACACTTTCTCTGGGGAGGGGGCCCGGGAAGATATCCATGTGCCCCGATTACTGAATGAGTTAAGATAAATAGCAGTCTTGTTAATCAGGATTTGGGGTAGACTTAAATTTTCACAGTCCATTTTCTCATTCTCACATTCTCGCTCTCTCAAGCCTGTATTCCTGCTTATATATTCTCATAACACACATCCACACCCACGCACGCCTGTCAAACTTTCTCTACCCAGATGGATAGAACGGACTGAAGTTGGGTGCACCAGTGTGTCTTTTATAATCAGTATTCACTGCCTCCCAGTAAGAGACACAAAGAATAGTTAAAAACATCATACAGAAAATAAAATTCCTGTTTGTTTCTCTGTTATGACCAATACTATCTTACCTAGCTATCCCATTCA